ATGTCAAATCTTAGTAAACCTTAAGTATACTATTATTTTATTCTGCGCGATAGATAATAACTTGTCCAAAGTGGCAAGTTGAACAAAACGGCAATTTCATACGTTGCGGTTCTTTTAATTGCGCTGTTGGTTTTCTAAGGCGTACAATATATAACAGCAGAACAATGCCATTTACTCGTTTCCTGTATAATGTTTCAAAACTTGGAAACATACTTATAGTACAGTCTAGGTACACGGTCAAAAATATCTGAGCAAAGTTAAAGGTCTTAATCTTACCAGATACGGTACCTGTGTGACAATAAAGTAGAGTGTGAATTATTATTGATGCTTATGAGCACTGTGTAAGCTATAACAGATTTGACACTATTTGTACCAGAGACAGAGAGTTCATGTTGAGAATATGTACTTTTAGCTTATATGTACGTGTTTTACTACTTTTGAGTGGTAGGGCTTGAGATTTAGCTGAAATTCAAATATGAGCGGTTCACGTGTAAGACTGCTGCGGTAAGTACTTCACAAGTTATTACCTTATAAAGCACTATTCCGGTCATGTAAGGAGTACTGCTGTCACACATGGACTGGTGCTGCAAAATGCCACCGAGCAGCATTGAATGCAGCGGAGAGACGTGTTAAGAAATTTATTTGTAACTTTGATGTGATTGAAACCAGCCTCTTGGTATTCTAAAGGCATACATTTCGGAGCGTGTGTGCAGGAATTACATGTCTTAATTCCGTGCGGTGGGTCTTCACCTTGTCGATATTCTACGCATACTAATCAAACGGTTTGCTTCGTCATTTGTAATGCGTGCAGCAAAGGAGTGGAATAATCTGCCGAAGTCAGTCTTTCCGTCCGAATACAATCTGGGCGCTTTCAAGGCAAAAGTGAATAGGCTTTTGTTACGCTAAGACAGTGCGATTTGCCATCTAGGGCTTCATCCACCAGATGGAATTGTAGTAAAGTACTTTCATATAATAAGTAAAAGGATATTTACTTAAATAAATCAAAATCGACACAATTTACTTGCTGATAAATGGTATAAAAGTATTATGCGAAAGTAACAGTATATTAGTTGCTTACTAAGTTGTAATTAGTCCAGTAAAATTAGCGATCAACCTCGGAATGAGAGATATTAAGCTGAATTTTCGTACGTTTTTAAGTTCGCGGAATGGGTAGGTAGGTAATAAGTGGGTACGTCGCTGAATTACATGCTAATTGAGAAACTCATTATTAATATAAATACCGGGTTTTATTGTAATTAGATCATTAGTCTTTGAGTTATCGTAAACCAAACAAGTCAATCGGGAAGAAATTGTGAAATATGGAGAAAATCGAGTTCCGTGCCGTTATAAAGTTCCTTACAAAGCGCGGAAAATCAGTTCAGACTATACTGGAAGAGATGTCATCCGTTTAAGGCAATTCTTGTTCAAGTAAAACTATGGTTTATAAGTGGCATACCCTTTTTAAACAAGGCAGAGAGTCACTTGAAGACGACCCACGGCCAGGAAGGCCGATCAAGGTGACCACTTCGCAAATTATTCAAAAAGTCGAAAAATTAATATTAGAAGATGCCCGCCTAAAGAAAAAACAGCTCGCAGAAATGGTTGGAGTATTAGATACAACCATTTTCAAACTTCTTCATGACCATCTTGGCATGATTAAAGTCAGCGCAAGAATCAAAATCTGCAGAAATTACAAAGGACGTTTACAAACAACTAACAAAATCTCCTACCATCGGTGAGTAACTCAAAACTAATAGTAATTTACGAAAACAAAACTAATAAATTGATAATTTTATTTCCAAAATCAACGCGTCATTTTTTGGTGTTGCCAGTTTTGGATTGCGAATTTCCCCGTATAGTTGTCTTAAAAGCTGATGTATGTTCATTTTTACCCGACTGCACCAGAAGGGGAGGAATTACATCATGGTGTGTATATATACATATACACACACCATTTGAAATATACCCACATACACGTATGTGTATGTGTATGTGGGTATATTTCAAAAATTGTTTGGCTGAGCCTATAGCCTAAACGGATGGACCGCTTGTTTTTGTTTTGCAAGCTTCCGCGCAGTCGGGTGTTTTTTATTTAGTTTAAAAAAAATATATCTTTATTTTTTCTCTTTTTTATTCGAATTACTAAATAGTATTGTATAATAATTGTCAAAAATCGAATGTGACCATTTGGATACAAGGTTTAAGGATACCTATTGATCCTATAATTAGAAGACGATGGGTGGACATAATGAGAAAAAGCCGTGAAGAAGAGCACTGGACATCATCCAAAACCACAGTGATATTATGCTTTGAATATTTCCGTGAAAAATACTTGTATTTTAGTTGAAACTGAATACGCATGTGGTTCTCTTCACCAAGTGAACCTAATAAGACTGGTCGCCGAAAACTATTTGACCATACTCTGTTATCATATAGCTAAATTAGATAATGTAAAAAGTGATGCAACCTCAAAACGTAAATTATTTAAAAAACAAATTTAAAGAGTGGGCCATTAAATTAGTAGTTACAAACATTTAATGGTAAATAATGATATGTTGAAAATAGAAGAGACTACTGTATTCCTGGGCTTGACCTTAGATGCAAAGCTTCAATGGGGCACCCATATATTAACTCTTGCTGGCACTATAACGCAGGACGGAATAATTCTTCTTAAAATGATCTATTAAACTGTAGAAACGCAATGGGGTTAAAAAATTTACGGTAAAGGGTACCTGCGGGATAAATTATTTTAGCAAAGCCTCCAGCCAACCTCTAGTATTTTATAAGTCGATATCATACATTAAATAATAGAACATATTTTGTAAATGCGTAATTGATATTAATTTGATTATATTTTCCTTTACAAAAAAAAATTAGATTATAACTCAACAGACAACTCAACACACAATTGAAAGCACCATATTAAAATACATTGAGTTATATGTACTACGTACTAGAGAAGCCTTTCTAAACAAAAAAATGTGCACTACTCTATGTCTTTGCGCATGCGCGGGAGTTAGTAAAGTCGCGCATGCGCAGTTGATTTAAGCGCGTTGCTCCTGCGCACTGAGTTTATATAAAGAAATATATTTTTTCATGTTTTTTTCTTTTGTATTATTACGATATTATTACCTATTTATCACTTGAACAACAAATAATTTTACTTACTTGACTACTGAATTGTTATTTACATCCAGGCTTAAACTTTAATTTAAAATCTTGTATTATTCGCGTCACTCCACACTGCATGTATATTGAAACCACAGATTAACTAGTAGATTGAAACCACACTAAATGACACACTGTACGGATTGCAGTACAGTTCAGTTGAACATAGTGTATGTTCGGAATGTGCAATCTAGTACGTAGTACATATATATCGATGTTAAAATATTATAATTTATGATTTTATTAACATGACAGTTTTACAGTTTCAGATAGATTCATTTAAGGGTATTAGTGTTCTGTGGATTCATTAGCTGGTATCTCCCAGATACAAATGACACTGGTGTAAGACATAGTTATTTATTCTGTTGCCATAGCAACCGCTACACGCTTGTAAAAACTGGCCTGTTTTTGTTGCATCGCTCATTGCGTGACGCGTTATCTAGAGAGTAAATAATCAAGGGGGAAAATTGACCAAAGAAATCCTTCTTCTGCACGACAACGCGCCTGTTCACAAGTGGCATGTTGCGATGGTGGCCCTGCAGAAGGTGGGCTTCGAAATTTTGCCACAGCCTGTAGTATAGTCCTGACCTGGCCCCCAGTGATTATTATCTATTTCCAAACTCAAAAAAGAACTTCGTGGGAAAAAGTTTTAAGTGATGAAGAAGTGAAGGAAGCAGTTTCGGCGTATTTTTTAGACAAAGACAAATAATTTTTGAGGATATACATAAGTTAATTGAAAAATCCGAAAAATGTATTAGGGTAGCAGGTGTAAGGAAATATAAATTTGGTATTTTATTTCCACTACTTACCCCCCATTCCGCGAACTTAAAAACGCACCCATATACCTTCATTTTAGTGTTCTAAAAGTTATCTCTAAAGTCTCATAAAATTTAGTGTCTGTGTCGTAAGTTATTCAAGGTCAAAGGTAAAAAAAAACAGCTTTTTTGCGATTATTTCGGTTTCTATTGCTCCAATAATGTCAAAATCTACTACAAAAATTATGGAGCATATATTTTGCGACAAATTTTATTTGAAACATTTTTTCATGCGCTCAACCGTTTTTGCGATAGATTGCGGTGAGCGCGCAGCGCTCAGCGATACATATTGTAATGCAAGGTCAACCGTGAATATCTGTGAATACTACCTTGTATTTTGAATAATTTGTATTATTTATCAGTTAATATATTGTTTGCGAAAAACTTTATTTATACCTTTAACCTTGAATAACTTACGACGCAGACACTAGATTTTATGAAACTTGAGATAAATTTGAGAACGCAAAAATGAAAGTATATACGAAAATTCAGCTTATTACCTCTCATTCCGAGGTAGATCACTTTTTTATGCTAATGTGACTGGACTAAATCGCCCTTTTCTGGCATTCCGAATTTGAGGACAAGAAAGTTTAAATGGTAAACATATTCTTTAATAAATAAAAAAACTATTTATATACCAATTTAGAACTCTACATACTCTACGCAACGTTATTATATTTTCTGAAAAAAAAAAACCTGTAAATATTTAGTGTATATAGAAAATATTTATATAAATACCAATATCGACATTAATTAGTCCACTGCTGGACATGGATTTTTAACAGTACAGACAATAGACCATTGGTAAAATAATCGCAATAGGTATTAAAATAGTTATTCCCAAAGAGTATATGAATATATACGGGAAAATAATCTGTATTTATTACGTCAGCTGGAACATGATGATGTACTCGTTTAAACATTTTCGTATAAAATATGAATGTTGAAAAGGTTTTTCAATATATAACATTTTTCTCAATAAAATAGGAAGTTAATTTGGCAATTTTAATTCCGCAGCGTACCTTTCACGCAAGGACTACAACGTGTTTATGGTGGACTGGTCCATGCTGGCGAGGTTTCCGTGCTACCTATCCGCACTCGCCAATATGAGGTATTACTTGAGTAGAACTATGTATTTAAAAAGCACTCTAAATTATCCTTTACTAAGGCTAACATCAACGGTCAAACAATTACCGATGAAAAACTTTATTGATGATAGAGACTTGACATCATAGCGCATTTTTATTTAGATTTTATTTAAGTCTTATTCGTATTTATAAATGAAAGTGGTCGCAATCCAATAGCAGGCTTAAACATGCAAGAGAAAATTTCCAATAATTGCCATGTACCTTAGATGGATTGATTATTTCTGAGAAAAGTACATACGTCTTGTATTTGCTTTGACGCTGTTCATAGGCGCTGGTATCAATAATTTACATTTGCCATATTTTTATGCAGTGTGGTGGCGGCGTAAAAAATCTTCTACTCCATTACATCCCAAATTCGTAAGAGGCGACAGAGAGAAACTGAAACAGGCGATAGGTGCTTATTAACAGCATTATACGTGGTAGAGCCATGCATATATTAGTAGTATAGTTGTAGCACGAATGGGTCGCCTCGACCGGGGAAGGACCACGCTCTCACTGAATACCAGCGTAAAATGACAGCTTAACACTACTGTGTTTCATATGATGAGTGTAGAGAACCGGAGACCCATTTTACTGGAACAAAGGCATTCCATCATAGTCCTCACGGGTGACGACGCATCTGCATTTTGATTCTTTATTGAGGATAAATGTAGATGTCTATGGGTCACAGCAACCACTTACCGTCAGGTGGACTGTATGCTCGTTTGTCACCCTATTCTATTTAAATAATGTTCCTGATATCAGCTAATATGATTAAAAATCTATGAGGTATTCTATCGCCAAGGCCTATGTTTACCAGTAGACTTATGATAGGGTGGAGGTAAATAATGAATGAATTTATTTTCTACCGACTTCAAAAAGGAGACGGTACTCAATTCCTCTGTATTTTTTTATGTGTGTTACCTCATAACTTTTTACTGTGAGAACAGATTTTGATGATCCTTTTTTATTTGAAAGCTGGTGCTTCAAATGTGGTCCCATATAAATTTGCTCAAGGTCTGACCATTCGTTTTTGACTTATTCTTAATAATTTATATTGAAGTCGGTTATACAAAATTTTAAATTATGTATATATAAGTATTTTTAATCCACTGTTAGATACTGTTTATGAATGTGTCTAGAGTCTAGGGTATATATACTTTGAAAGATTTGTTCATACTTATGGTAAGTACGAGTATCTTGGCAGTCGAATTAGTGAGCGCAGAGCCGATGTTCTAGAAATCTCTGTCTGATTTAGATTCGGCATTTTCGAATTGATATAGGTACAGATATTTCTCAGTCGAATGAGCCTAATTTGTTAGTTAGCAAAGTGCGTGTGTTGACATTTTAAGAAATAGTTTCAATTTACTCCTTTTTTACTTCAGTTCATCAGTCAATTATTTTAGATGCTTCTCTTGAGATCGCAATCCTATATAATATTAAGGTTAATACCTGCTTATTCACAGAATGTTCCAAAGGCTTTTATTAAAGTCACAATGCCTGTGACAATCACCGAAAAAAAAAATCGATTTCACCTAAGATCTCGGGTGAAATCGATGTTTTTAAGTCCGATGTTAGTACGATCTTATTCTTCTTTGTGCATTCATAGTGAATCTTCATTGCACCCCTCGTATGCTATATACAAGATAAGACGTACTCGTATATACGTTGTGTATAGTAAGTACAGTGTCAAAACCCTTGTTCGATCCAAAAGAGGCGTATGGTATAACTAATGAGTATACAGAATAAATATTCATACAACGTAAGCATTTCTCATATATGTTTATTACAATAAGTACAAGATAAAACGGATAATTGATATTTTTACCCGCTACCATACTATGGCGAATATTGACCGGAAACTAATTCTTCCATTATTGTGGCGAGTAAGCTTACGGTCCCATTGAATTGATATAATATCTTATTTAACATTTTATGATATGTACTATTTTAATTGCCTGTTTCAAAGCAAAACTTTTTTTTAATAATTTAATAATTATTATTTGGATAATTTAAAAAATGTAAACCGACTTTAGAATATCATCGGTTCCAGTTTTATTTTATATATTCTACTAAGAATATTATTTTGATGAAAATAAAACTTACAATCGTTTTACTAATTTTGATGATATAGTTCTACATTTATAAAACACGCAGTCGAATTAATAACCTTTTACTGTTTGAAGTCGGTTAAAATTATAATTTCTTAATTCTTTACAATATTTTTTTTCAGATTAGCAGCTCAGTGCACGGCTCAGCTCTACTCTTTCATGACGCAGTCTGGGGCTTTGGCGAAGAAGACCACTTGCGTAGGTCACTCTTTAGGAGCGCATATTTGTGGAATGATGTCCGAGCATCTTACTGAGAAACAGTACAAAATTATTGGTAAGTGACTTACCTATATCTACCATATTATAATGTTGTGCTTAAATTGCAAGTACAGGGCGTTTAAGAGAACTCACTACCTCATATCATCCCGAGGGTGCCGTAAGAGGCGACAGAGAGAAACGGAAATAGGAGATGGGCATGTCTGCCAAGTGTGGCAATTATGCCAAACCTACCTATAAGGTATTCTTCGGGGATAGGCCAATGGTCTTTTATTATAGAGTAAGGGTAAGTATGACAAACGTCTACACAGTCCACACAGTATTATACGTGGTAGAGTCATGCTCCAGCTATATTAATAATATAGTTGTAGCACGAATTGTTCGGCTCGACCGGGGAAGGACCACGCTCACAGAATAACAGCGTAAAATAGCAGCTTACTGGAAAAGAGGCATTCTATCTTGGTCCTCGCGGCTGACAACGCATCTGCATTTTAATTCGCAAACGAAGATAGATGTAGATGTCTATGGGCCGCAGTAACCACTTACCATCAGGTGGATTGTGTACTCGTTTGTCACCCTTATTCTATAAAAAAAAGTCCGCCTGATGGTAGCCCTTACACATCTACATCTATTCTCGATCTGTATTTTGATTTTTAAAGACTAAGACGGAATGCCTCGTTTCCAGTAAAAAAGGTCTCCGGTTTTCTAAACTGATCATACGAAATATACCAGAAATAAGCTCCTATTCCGGGAGATTGTGATCTTTCATATGGTCGCGAGGGTCTATTCGTGTTAGACCTGTAATATAAGCGCAGCATGACTCTACCACGTAAAAAATGTTCATTAATGGACATTTGATCAACGGTAATAAATGAATAACGTTCTTGTTATTATTACAGTATTAATGGCAAATAGTTAATGGACTCTGCTTCTTTATCAGATCGTTATACTTACAGCTCAATACTGCTTGCACTTTTAACTTTGTAGGAATTGTCGTAAGAGCACATATGCACTAGCGATTAACCGGGTCGGCGGCTAACCACGCGGCTAGTTTAATCTTTATTATCGCTCAATTTGTACGCTAGTGCGTCGAGTGCATGTAAGTACCGCACTACCACCCAGTAAAGGATGAAACCAATATTATTTTGTCTTTACTCTATGTCGTTTTCGATAGTAAAAATAGACACGTCAAGCTATCTCGACAGTGACTTTTTGTTTATAATGAATGAACTTATGATCATATGATCAGTTTCAAAACGTTTTCATACTCCATTGATAAATCCAGGAAATTACGACGGATGTAAAGTATTAGTTAACTGTACTTTGGATTCGATACATTTACAAAACTTATTTTTACTGGCCTATGAATAGCTACCAGACTTTCACGCGATACTCCGACGCGCGCCTCAAAGTGTACAAACGGTAGTCCACCGTTAAAAGAGAGAGAGAGAGAGAGAGAGAGAGAGAGAGAGAGAGAGAGATGGACAGATAGAGAAGAATAAAATCGCATAAACATCAATGATAAAGTGATATGATAACCCATATCGTCCCGTGAATGTCGTAAGAGGCGACAGAGACAATGAAACAGGAGCTGAACTCAAATACATAAAAATTGCGGTTGCCAAGCGTGGCAATTCTGTCAAAATCCCCTTCCTATGAGGCAATCAATGGGGAAGGCCTATGTTCCGTTACCGTTACAGCCCTATCTAACGTCCATTACTGAACATAGGCCTCCCCCATAGATTGCCTCACAACAGGGGGCATATTTGCCATAGTTGCCATGCTTGGCAAGCGGTTTGGCAACCGCATTTTTACAAAAATTGTGCTCATATGCGTGGTAAGGAATCTCAGTCTACGGAGCGCGCTTAGAAGACTTCGTGTGGAGGACGCTATTGACCAAGAGTGCTTTAAGGTGATTCTTTTCAGTTTGAAAGTAACCTTTAGGTTTTTGTTCTGTTCTGTTAGGTAGTGTAGAATACAATAAAATTAAAAAAATCAGTTTAACTATTGAATTTGGACAGTTAAATCTATACAAATAAATAAAATTGAAGTGTCTGTTTGTAATGTAAAAATTACAGCTTTTTACTAAATGCATATGTAAGTAAATACGGTACTTATAACTAAAATACAAATTTTAAATTTTTTGTCTGTCTGTCTGTTTGTTCCGGGTATCTCCGAAACGGCTGGACTGATTTTGACGGGACTATCACTGGCAGATAGCTGATTTCATAAGGAGTAACTTAGGCTACTTTTATTTTAGAAAAATAATTAGGGTTCCGCACAAAAACATAAAAATCCTAACACGCGAGCGAAGTCGCGGGGAACAGCTAGTTATTAAATGAAATAAACGTTAAAGTAACTGCAATATATTTATTATATTAAAAACAAAAATATACACAATGCTTAACTTTTTAGGTTACAATTGTTACTGCATTTGCTTAAAAAAATTAAAATCGGAATATATATTTATAAATTTATAAAAGATTTTTAAACCTGTAATATTGTACCTGTAATATTCAGTATCCACATTCATCTGTGTAATGTCAGGTACGGGACTGTGCTACTTCAGTGGCGCAAAAAATATCGTTTGGTACATGATATAGAAATTATAGTGTATAATATAGCTACGTTAGTCATGTCAATCCAATCCTCTTATAAATACACGGATATGTGTGGATAGACTAATAAACTACAGGGCTTACGTTCATTTTGTTGAAAAAAAAAAACAATGTTTAGAAAATAAATTTGTATAAAACTGTAGAAATGTGCATTGTGGGAGACAATGTTCATGTATGACTTTTAAACCTGTGGTTTTTTCGGCAGTGCCATAGTTACAGTCTTGACCTCTAGGTATTGGTTGATGCCCTCTTCTCCCCTGTTAAATAAAATAGATGAAAGATTGCTTTTATTTTAATATAAATGAAAATCATTACTGAAAAAATAATTTCTAGGTATAGGAAAAATATCCGTGACTAAAAACATCATGTATGGACATACATGATGTTTCCACCCAGAGAGGTGTCGTTTATTTCACATCCATTTACTCGTATCTACGCATATATACGAGTATATGCTCTTCGGGGTTTTGTTTTATACAATAGGGTGACAAACGAGCACACAGAACACCGGAGATCTTTTTTGGTGGAAACGAAGCATTCCATCTTAGTCCTCCGGTGTGATAACGCATCTGCATATTGATGTAGATGTCTATGGGCCACAGCATTCACTTACCATCAGGCGGAGTGTGCTCGTTTTTTACCCTTATTCTATAAACGGGAAAAGGTACAAAAAAATAAAAATATTTGAATCTTACTATTTTGCAAAATAAATTTAATAATTGCTAAAAGCGGATTGTGGAAACTTATTTAATAATATCCCATTTGATATTAAAAATTGAAAAATTTGCATCTCATGTTTACATTTGTATTCCTTGTATGGCAGAAAATCTAAAATAAATCAAGTACTATATAACAATAAGTGTGCATTCTGAATGTCTTCTTTATGAGCACTAACACAAGAGTCCAGTGCCAAAACGGTAACGTGCCATATTAAAGCACAAAAACTACTAAGAGCGATTAATTAGCTGAGAAAAATACGGAATTAAGAAAGTTTTTACGAAGAACGATTTTATATCTATATTATGGTAGATGTGATATAAACCAAATGTCAGAGATGCCAACTACTAAACTGTAGTAGTAGTAGTATGTAGGTAGTAATCGTGAGTAGCGCGGTAGTCTATGGAATTAATTATTATTATACTAGAGAGCGTTTTTATTAAATTTAATAATTATAAATAGATTGTAAACGATGTTGAAATGCTCTTTGTCATTAATATACTTTCATATGTTATATAATATACTTTCATAACTTATATTCAGGTATTTATGAGGTATGTTTCTAGTTGCGCCAAGGGAGTTCGTCGGGCAGATAGGAGCTTTTTAACTAATTCTACTTCAAGCAGCACTACACTGCTGTGTTCGTGGCTGTGAGTAATTTCATCTTAGTCTTAAGAGGTGATACGTCCACGGACTTAACTTATAAAATAGTTCCAAATGTCCACAGGCTGCAGCAGCCGCCTATTATTAGGTAGATTGTTAGCTTGTTTGTCATTTAAATATTTAAAAAAATGTGAAAAACGTAAAACACTAGCTTCATTAATATCTAATATTAGGTGTCCTGCCGTATACTTACAATTCTCTGCCAATGCCGGAGTTCTTGAAACCTCCAAAAGGCGTTTGACTTGTGACATGGTCGTAAGTATTTATCCTAAAAACAAATATACAAACATTTTATTCATTTATTTTATTACTAATATTAACGTTTAACACTACAAATATGCTAAAAAATGCACGTGTTAGGAGTGATTCACGACGGTAGCCCATAGAATATTATATACGAGGGTGGATTGAAAAGTACTCGGCCTAACACAGATCCATTCAATTCTAAAAATCAAATCTACCCACATTATTTAGTTCAGTTCAGACTAGTTCATTGTGTGAAGTTCGAAACGTGTGCGATAATTAGTTGTGATTTTATAAATTTATTAACAAAGTAATCGGACATAATTTCCGCGAATGGAGCAAATCGAGCAGCGTGCCGTCATTAAGTACCTCCATAAGAAGGGGCTATCATCAAAAGCCATCCATGATGACATGGTCAGTACATTAGGCGATTGTGCTCTGTCATATTCATCCATCAAAAAATGGATAGCAGAATTTAAGCGTGGTAGAGAGAGTGTGAAAGATGAACCCCGCTCTAGAAGGCCTTCGACGTCAACTAGTGACGAAAATATTAAAAAAGTACTTGATTTAATAATGGGAGACCGCAGATTAAAAATTAGAGAGATAGCCGAGATTATAGGCATCTCTTATGAACGAACTCAAAACATCATTGTCAAAGAGTTGGGTTTCCACAAGGTGTCTGCGAGGTGGGTTCCGCGACTGCTTTCAGTTGAACAAAAAAGGACGCGATTGACTATTTCACGCGACTGTTTGGAGTTATTTGAAGCCGATGCAGATGATTTTTTGAATCGTTTTGTTACTATGGACGAAACATGGGTTCATTACTGTACACCGGAAACAAAACAATAATCAAAACAGTGGAGAAGACCTGGTTCACTACCCCCTAAAAAGGCTAAGTCGATTTTGTCGGCAAATAAGGTGATGGCTTCAGTATTCTGGGACTCGAAAGGTGTGATTATGATTGATTATCTTGAAAGGGGTCAGAATATAAACTCTGATTACTATTGCACCTTACTACGTCGTTTACGAGAGGAAATAAAAGAAAAACGTCGAGGAATGCTCAGAAGAAAAGTCCTGTTTCATCAAGATAACGCCCGTGTTCACACGTCAGTACAGTCAATGACTGAAATTCACAACTGTGGCTTTGAACTGTTACCGCATCCGCCGTATTCACCTGATCTGGTACCATCAGACTTCTTTCTGTTCCCTAACCTAAAAAAGCACTTGGGAGGTCAAAGATTTTCGACAAACGACGAGGTCAAAGCAGCTGTAGACGCATATTTTGACTCTAAGGAAGAATCATTTTTTTTCAACGGTCTAAATGCTTGGAAGGGGAGGTGGCAAAAGTGTATTGAACTTGATGGTGATTATGTAGAAAAATAAAAATATAACTGATTTAGTATGTGTTTATTTTCTTGGTTAGGCCGAGTACTTTTCAATCCACCCTCGTATTAGATATAGAGTTATTTTGGAATAACCAGCCAAATTTACAGAGCAGGTTCGGAATCAGCAACACAGGCAAATGATAAAGAAAAATTAATTAAAAACAATCTCAAACATTCTATCCCTTTCATCTTTTACATTCAAAATGCGTGGTAATGTATTAATTTAACTGATTGTCATTCATAAATATCTAACGCCTACTATTTTACTACACGCATACATTCGTAAGGGTCGATCGGTCGGCAGAAACTTGAATTGAACCGCACACAGAGGAGCGCGCGTATGCGTAGTTCATGCCCATAAATCACATTCAGTTTTGGATAATTTGAAATAAAAGTAGAAACTTTATTCGTATTTTCAAACACTGCAATAACGGTATAATTATTTATATATTTCAACTTAAGATTTTAAAATTTGGCTACTCTTTGAAAAATAACCATGTATATAGCGGATTCGAACTTCCGCTCATAACTTCCTATTTTTAACCATTAGGCTTAATTTTTATGTAGTAGTTAAAAATAAAGTAACTACATAAGTTGAGAATAAATAAAACACATTACGTGATAAAATAAAAAATAAATTTGAATATTTTTAAGTTTGTCATAAGAAGTTTTATGAATAAATTGATTATTCTATCCTTATTAATTCTTATCCTTTGATGTTTTTATCATAGGATAAAAATTTAATTTTTTTTTCCTAGCATTGGAAATAAAACTTGGTTATGGTCATGCAAGAAGTCATACTCTCTGGATAAGGATGAAAAATATACATGTTATTATTTATTCACTTTATTTTAAAAATCTTTGGCTTAAAAGAAAAATAAGAATACGAATATATACTATATATAAAATATATTCGTATTCTTATTTTTATAAGTATATAATATATAATATAGTGAGTGATAGATGCTATAAATGAATTTAAACAGAAACGTTTTCACTAATATCTAGAAGATATCAATTTATACCGGTTTTGTATACCGCTTTTACTTTTTACGTGTCTGGACAGTTAGAATAGCGGCTTCTACGATGCCCGTCGTCGATTACCGTCATCACTCCGTTATTAATGTTGCGGAATCTACGCATGGGTAGCTGCCACTGACACACACCCGAGGCCACTAGAGTGAAAAATGCTTTTGTCGCAAGAGTGAAAAATGCCTTTCCTTCCCGCGTAATTTCGAAGTAGCTTAAAATATTAAACTGTAAAATTCTGTATAATGTTTCTAAATTAATAAAATGTATTTTTGAGTATTCTTATCACCACCCTTGGCAAGTACCTACATAATGTGAGAAGAATATCTCTATTTTCAGAACTTGAAACGCTGTAGTGCTCGCAATATTTAAATCAAAAGTATAGTTACCATTTAACTTTTAGATTTTCTTATTTTTACTGACATCTACATATTTCTGGCGGAATATTTTTGTAACGGTGGTCTTGATGTTTGTATGTGCAATTAATGTACATGAAAATCCCACGGTAAACTAGATCACCCTAGTAACATGTTTACGTAACGTTTTTTTATAACATACATAACTTTAAGAAATGGCCATTGGAACGTTCATCTAACTGGTCGATTACATTTATTGAACTAAATCGAGATTTGGAGGACACTATATAGAAAACTTTGAGTTTATTCCGTTTATATACGCTAAGAAATCCACCCTAGGTTGGATACTCGGAAACACGTGGTTGTTTATCCATCCTACACAGGGTGGATAGTCGGAATTCACTTTTTGTCCTACTTTTATATATTATTGATTAATTTTTAACAACCACAAACTTATACAATAATCATATCACGCATTGTATTTTTATAAGTATGCTAATGTCTACTAAGTAGTAATATTGGACCAGTTTCTATCATGTTTCTATAAATGACTGTACACAGCCGGGGGAGAAAATCGGAAGAAAAATAATATATGAATTCCAATTATCCTCCCCAGACGGGGTGGATAAACGAAACGCGTTTCCGACTACTTCTTAGGGTGGATAAACGGAATTATCCAAAACTTTCTTTAATTATTGACACCTGACTCTGGAAACTACAACTGTGAGTAGTGTAGAGGAGGCATCCAAGGAATGTATTTAGTTTGAAGATCTCGGAGGATCATCTTTTTATCTATATATGCTTATTTGTTTTTAATATTACTTATTAATAATTGTATGAAATCAAAATTTAAAAAGTGATTTTTATATTTATATTATTTTATATTATTAAAATACTGAATGTTTACTGCCGAATCGTAGGTACTACAAATTCTCTTTATCACCACCAGTGATATCTTTTTATTTTAGGTAACGTGCCTAAACTAGAACATAGAAGAGTTTGTTACAAGCTAACAATTTGTAGTCCTGTTTTCGAACAATTTGTAGTTATTTAGGTTTGTACACAACAGTTTCAATCTCTTATTTTTAAAAACCTTAAACTGAAGTTGCCACCCCGATACGATGTGTAATGATGATGATGATGCCGTTACTGCTCCCTTCGCTGGGTATTACCTAATCTTTAGTAATAATTGTTACAATAAGAATACATGTGTTATTTCACGAAATTATCGACTTCTATACCAAATTTTATTAGAATTAGTCCATTGTGATTGTAGGACAAACATCCATACAAACATACTTTCACATTTATAATAAAAGATAATCATTATTATTCCTTATGTAACCAGCTTGTCCATAAAAACTTGACTTTTCCCTAATTTAAAAAATATGACCCGTGCTTCCTAAATATAGAGAAAATTCCTATTAAATTGCAATATGGCGCAATTTTAAATCAAAACAAAACATGTGTCGCTAATTGTGTATAAGTCATTATAAAAATCACAAAGTGCTTCTTACCATACGGAGCCAGCGCGTACATATTTGGCAAAGCTCATTGCTGTGGTGATGTCGTTAGTGATGACACCAGCACCAAGTCCGTAGTTAGTGTCGTTTGCCCGATCGATGGCTTCATCGAACGTGTCGAACTTGAAAATGCTCTGCACCGGCCCGAATATCTGCACCCCAAATACACTTGCTGACATGATTTACTTTATTACTGAATAAAGATAATGCCTTTTTTAAGTGATTAAGGCGAATACATACGAACATTTATGAAAGCGAGCAATTGTAACAGACAATATTTTAGTGCCAAACGGTCACAAGTGTAAGCTCAAACTCAGTCACTTACTCTTTTTGGTGTGTTTTATGTAAAGTTAATGCAATACGGTCGGAAATACGAGTAGGCTACGCAGTGACGGAGATAAGGGGACAATTTCAATAGAATGAGACCTTTACAATAGATCTTTAAAATTCAGCCTCGACTTTTTATCTATACCCTGAATCAGTTGTGTGATGAAGCTGTAGACTGTTGGTTAGATGTGAAATCATCTACAAAAAGACGTAGGCGAACGAAAGGTATGCCTTTCCATGCTTTATATATATGTTTAATTGTTTATACCATAGATATGTGTCGTTTTTAAAATATGTTTTTTAAAAAATAAAAGAGAATGCTTTTTGAAGTTATTTGAAACGATTTATATAATAATTAATTTTAAAAATATATTTTTGTAAACTTTTGTCTTATTAAGTAAAAGTGAGTAAAAGTGGGTTTCTTGCTAGTTTTTCCCAGGAGGTTTTGCCGTATCCGTGTGAAACATAAAAATAATTTTCAATTAGAATTATTTATATGCCGTGTAGTATATCGAAGAAAAATTCTATTTTATTCGCTTTTTCGTCTTATACAAACAGATTATTTGGTTTTAATATCGGTTGTTGTTAAATATTGGAAAGGCAAATGAACTGATAATATGTAAAAATGTTGCTCTAAGCGGTAGAATAATAATTACCTCTTCCCTTGCAATCTTCATGTCGTCTTGCACGTCAGCAAAGACGGTAGGTTGTATGTAGTAGCCCACATTACCCATTTTGTCACCACCGGCTACACATTTAGCACCGCTCTCCTTTCCATACTTTATATAGTCAAGAACTTTAGTGTACATTTCCTTGTCAATCTAAAAAAAGTCATAACTATAAATTTAAATATGGATATTTATATTCCTGTGCCATTTTTGGACTTGAAAAGAACTGCTTTCCTTTAAACAAACCGTTTATTTTATCATCGCATCTTTTTAAAATAAAAATCATTTAATTCCGGGGACATTGTATAAGTATTAAAAAAGAGTTTAATCGATGAACATTTTTGTACAAAAATCATGGGCATCGAGTATTAAGTAAATTAATTTTTATTAAGTAAATAGAGAGTAGAAAAATACAAAGGGCATAAGTACATACTGCATTTTCTCCTGTATTCTGTCTATCCTTTATTAGTTTTTTAAAAAAACGTTACCCCCACACAATCCTAGATTTTCTCCTGTGTCGTGGAGGCAGTTTACAAACATAAATTGCACAAGGACAAGCATCCAGACCCGGAACAATTATTTGTAGGCCATACAAATACTTGTTCCGTGCGGGATTCGAACCCGCGGCCCCCAGCGCAACAACTGATTGCTAAGCCACTGCGCCACGGAGCCGTCAATCCTTTAAGACAACACAACGCACCTAGCAAAGTAATAATCGTAAAAATAATATAAAATTTAATGAGCGGTTAGCGTGACTATGTCACGTTAATAGTAAAGCCCAACTTCTCTCGCTTAGTGTTCGAGATGTGTAACAAATAATGTATGTAGGTGCTATCTAATATACATTAGAATGGTTATAAAGTGAACTGGATTATGAAGTATACACTCGATTTTCGAGTTTATCGTTATAAAGAAGTAAATAGAAGAGTAGACATAGAATACTGCACTTAGTTCAAAAAAGTTCATTTGAACTTATTTCTTATATTTACGTGAACACTACACATAGAATAAAAGTACTTTTACGGATTCTATCGCATTTAATTATCTTGTTTTTTAATGATTCCCGACGTTTCACCAAGGATGCTGCCAAGGAGGCTGCCATGTGAGGCTAATGAAATTAAAAAACATCCTAATTTTAATAGAAATGGATGCTGGGTACTACTGTAATTAATAAAATTAAAACTAAACCCGTATGCTTGGCACTGAAAGATTTCAAGACACAGTAAGTTCATTCTGCGTAAATCGGACCAAAATTAATAATTAAAAAAGCTTAAGGTACTCCGGGTTAACTCTGACATCGGCACGTCAATCACCTCAGTGCTGTAAGGTATCCGAAACGTCGGGAATCAATAAAAAAAAAGATAATTAAACGCGATAGAATCCGTAGCAGTAGCCTATAGTAGTTCAATATTTATAACTAATTATAAACAGTTTACTTTAGATTAATCACCATATCACACCATGCTATATGTTTAATTACCTGGGGACCTTGTTGTACATCGTCAAACGGATTCCCAACGGACCTCTTCTTTGCAATTTCAGCAGCTTTAGAAACGAACTGGTCGTATATTCCCGATTGCACGTACGTCCTGGTCCCGGCGCAGCAACATTGACCGGCATTTGCAAACGCAGCCGCGTGCGCTATCTGTGCCGCTTTTTCCACTAGTAACACATTAATTTATTTTATTTTGTTATGGTTTAAGATTTGTATAATATGAATTAAAACATTTTAAATCGCTATAAGCGTCAATAAAATAATTATGAAATTGAAAATTCATTCAAATGTTTTCGAAACATTACCGGTCTATAGATAGTTTAATGTTGGTAAGTGTTAGTGTTTCTCAAATAAGGCACTTTGCAATTATTTTGGTAAAGTAGAAATTTATAAGATACGACATCAGTTTAAGTTGAATAAACTCTTTCTCCGTGTGTGAGAACGCGAGGAAAATCATCACCATCCATGTTAGATTTAAAATGTTCAGGCTGCACACCACACGTACTCCGACTGTTTATCCGCCTTTACGATAAATCCTTATTAGGTACTATAGGAAGGATTGAAGGAGAGGTCTTTTGATGATAGATTATCGGGCAGTTGATGATAAATATAATATATATATAGTACACAAAAACAAAAATATTGTTATTAAAAATAGTGGTGTACATTCTGTAAAAACTAGGAACAAGCACAAGTTAGTTATATCAATTACTCAACTCCAAAGAGTCAGTAATTCTTTCATGGGACAACGTACATACGCTTTTACAGCAAAGTCCCAAAAAATATGCATAACTTACCTGTATCAAAAAATATTTAATATTTATTAAGAAATAATTTTCTAGTAAGGGTTATTATATTACTAAAGAGTACATGATTGATAATGAACCCTGAGAATGAGATGATCGATATGCTGTTTCTATATGTTTTCATACTCTAATTGTATAAAATATTACATTGTAAATTATTTGTTTGTAAAAGTCACACAGGGTTTTTTGCTGGTTCTTCCCAGGAGGTTTTTTCCTGACCAGTGGTAATGCTTAAGCTGTTTAAGTATTCTTGTAATCTACAATGAATAAAATGATTCTATTCTAATCTATAGTATTTCTTTAAACTAACCTAATATATAAAATTAATCCTTGTTTGTTCTTATTTTATATGCTGCCATACCGTTCATCACATTGCGGTAAAATTTTGTCAACATAATTATTGTTTGCACTTTGAAAGTTATACATCATTCAATTTCAATGAATGTATTGTAATTTCTAATCAAGCAATGTAACTCTTCCAAATTTGAAACGACATTTCTACAATGATTTCTTCTGCGCTTTTGTAAAGTGAAATTCGATTTAAAAAAAAAGTCCCGCTGGGTTTCTTGCTGGTTCTTCCCAGGACAGAGATATTTTCCGAACCAGTGGTAAATAAAAAATAACTTGCAATAAGTATTATATAATAATCTATATTAAATAAAAGTTATTCTATCCTATTCTGCGGCAGCAACGCACCGGGAAGAAATCATTTCAATTTATATTATAACTAGCTGGTAGTTATATTTTAAAATATATACGGTTTACTTAGGTAATTTAAAAATACTAGAAAACAGACAATTTCTAGTATTTTTTAGATATATAATATAGTATATTAAAACTATTATAATACTATATTATGATTATTGAACAGAGTAAATTTTTCATTTACGAGTATGTACTTACACGTATGCAGGGAGGTAATCTAGACTTTTGAAATAACTTTCTTTGTTTCAGTTCAATGTATATACGTTACTACAATATTATCTATACATATAAAATTGAAATATCTGTTATTAAGCTTAGGGGGTTATTTGCGTGCTATTTAGGACGTAAATAAAATTTTTGTCTGACTATCCGTCTTTCCGGGCTAATCTCCGGAATGGCTGAACTAATTGTGATGAAGGAATGATTGCAGCTTCTTATTCTACTACTTCTTGAAATCGCCTATCTGCCTGGTAAGCGTGATGATTTGACTGCTGTCAATGTTCGCGAATGGTATAGGATAGAAATGCATACGGGACATGAGCACAAAGTTAAGATTCAAGTGCTTACCATCGGCGTCATTGAAAACTACTAAGGGACTTTTGCCTCCGAGTTCCAGGGTCACACGTTTTAGATTTCCTACTGAAGCAGCCCCTAGTATAATTCTGCCAACCTGAAAACATCATTCAAATTCAAAATCTTTAAAAAAAAAGTAGCGACCTGCGACACCTCAAGCTATAGTTAATCGTCCCAAGTTATAGATTTCCCATATCGCTTGTTGCAGATATCCACACTAATACACCACAGGACATGATAGTTTGAAAGTACGCAAAGTAGACTAATATAGCGGTTGCTTCATTAGTCTGCTCTCTAATCCTTCTAAGAGCAAAAATGTCGAACTTTTTTCGAAGCGATCAGTATGTGCTACTATCACTATACTATGTGTTACTATCAATATAAGGAGCTTGGAATCAATAGAACTACTGAGAAATATTGTCGAACTTTCAAAATTGAGGTTGATATTTTGTAAATTAATTACAGTATTATGCTTGTTTGTTCAGTGTTTAGAAACAAATAATTCGCTTCCAAACCATTTCTAAACAAAACCCAGTATTTGGTTGGGCCATTTCAAAGTTCAAAATAGTTTCTTTTAACTTCTAATAACAATAAGGTATCATGAGCAAAGAGAGCGACCTCAGATCATTTATTAATTCCAAGAGCAAAAAAGGGCTAACTATCCCGATCCCTGGAGGACACCCACTACATCACATGTCCCGATAATACTACACTGTCGGTTGCAACCCTTTGTTCTCCGTGTGAGAGATGTGAGAATAGGAGATTAGCACGGCATTACGAATACCGTTGTATTCTTATTAATTTTAAATTTAAAGTTTTATGATCCACAAAATGCTTTTAAAGATGAAAGAAGAGATATCGACAGTGTCATGATATTTTTTCCAGGCTTGTTATATATGTGATATTAGTTTAAACCTGCATTCGTTGTGGATTTTCCTTTCGTGAAAAATAATTATATTACTACAGTCGAACCTGGGTAAGTGAGAGTTCAAGGGACCGTGATTTTTTTGACAGTGTATTTCTTACATGGTAAAATACCAGCGACGCCATTAATATTTCAGGTTCTTGACTGCGGTTTTGTCTCTATATATTTAAAAATATATATTTAAAATATATATCACAGTGGCCACACCAAAGCACAAAACATGAAATTGGTTAAAGGAAACTTGTCAAAGCCATGTCAAATCATTAATTCAACTCGTAGCGAAGACCAAACTACATGTTTATACGTGATAGAGCCACGCTGTAGCTATATTATGGTTGCGGCAGGGATGGGTCAGCTCGACTGGGGTAGAACCACGCTCTCACAGAATACCAGCGTAAAATAATAGCGTAATGCAGCTGTGTTTCGTATGGTGAGTGTATAGAACTGGAGATCCTTTTTACTTGAAATAAAGCATTCCATCTTGTTCCTCAGGGGTGACAACGCATCCGCATTTTGATTCTTAATTGATCATAAATATAGATGTCTATGGGCCACAGCATCCACTTACCATCAGGTGGGCTCTGTGCTCGTTAGTCACCCTATTCTTTAAAATAAAAAAATAATTTCTTGTATTATTAGCATATTAACATACCTCAGTAGAGCCAGTGAAGGCGATTTTATCGACGTCTGGGTGATTTGTTAGGGCTGCTCCCGCCGTGGGTCCGTACCCGGGGACTACGTTCACCACACCCGGAGGAAATCCAGCCTCTTTTATCAAAGCTGCCACGGCCAAGGCAGTCAATGGGGTTTGTTCTGCTGGCTTAAGGACAATAGTGCACCCTGAAAAAATTGAATTATAATTTTATGTAATTTAAAGTAGCCCTTGATTCATTATGATATTGGAATACAGTCCTTCTATAACTATGAATACTGAAAACAGAGCACATTTATGTAGTCAATGGGCAACCGTTTCGGATTTTTCGGGACATTCCGTATATTATGTACATAATTTGAGCCGTCCTTGCAAGTGCTCTTGCGGGAAGCCTAATATCCCGAAAACCATTGAAGAACTAAATTATCACACCCACCGGTACTATAATTTTCTTTTGTGTAAAACACAATATGCTCTGAAACGTCAGCTTAAGACTAATTGCGAGTTTATTGTCCCTCAATATGTTTTAGATATTTCAGAGTTTGTTTGTCTATTCGGAAAAAAAGTATTTGTTTATTATTTACGTAGCTTTTAAGAAAAACGTACAATTTTTCATAGGCTTGTAATGAAAGAACTCCCAATCGATAAATATATGATAAATTCACAATTACTTGGATTTATTTTTGTTAAATATAAAGTCCAGTTTTTAGGAAACTCTCACTATAGTTTTCATTGAATAAATTCATAGAACATATTAATTCTGAACTCTCAAAATATATACAAAATTTGTCGCGGGTATTGGAGGAAAGTTAACTGGACTTTTTGGAGAAAAATATGTTCAGTATACAATTTTTTTTATTATAATTATATTATTAAAATATTATTGTCTTTAAGTTTTCATATTTAACTAGCGATTGGCCAAATTTTTTATCAAAATCGGTCCTGCCGTTAGAAGTTCAGTGACAAACAAACGTACAAAATGATTATATTTTGTACAAAGATTTGCATTTTCGCAGCATTTCTATTACTTTTTAACTTAGCTACTACTTATATTACTGGTGGCATTTTGCAAGTGCTACCGTTAATGAAATGTGCTGTTGAAGAAGTAAACTTGTTCTGACTGCAATGCACTCCATTATTTTTTATATTATAAATGGGAAAGTTTGTGAGGATGTATGGATACTTGTTACTCTTTCAAGCAAAAACTAATACATGGATTTTATTGAAACATTACAGTCATACATCACTCATACATCAGAATAACACATAAGCTATAATTCATAAAGATATTGTGTAAATTGGCCAAAATATAACGATAAATGTTAAGTAAATCTGAAAATGCTGTCATCTGCGAACTATTTTGGCGTGAACACGCATCACGTAAAAACCTAAAAACTTTGGATGGGAATTTCAATGGCAGATAGCTTATGTTATAAGGAGTAACTTCGGCTACTTTCATTTTAGGGTTCCACACAAAAAAAAATCCACGCGGGTGACGTCGCGGAGAACAGGTTGTTGAGAAAATAAAATTAAAATTAGTGCTATAAAACTTTTACAAATATTACGTAGACTATGCGCCTAGACTGATCGATGGCCCAGACTAATAAAATGTCTATAAATATATCTTACCTGCAGCTAAAGCTGGTGCTATTTTCCATGACATCATAGGTATTGGGTAGTTCCATGGTATAATTTGTCCGCATACACCTACTGGCTCCTTAAGAGTCATTGATAAAACTTCGCCATCTGCAACATTCGGAAGAAGAATTAAAAACAGATTTATATAACACCCACGCACACCCACGTGAAAACGTACACGCACACCCACACCCACGCGAAAACGTACATGACAGACACACACGCACACAGACAGATACACACGCACTACTTTTTATTATATTGTGATAAGTCTCTACTAACTATTTTCGAAACTTAATAATTTATTATAGACTAAATGCTTAAAATTTTATTGCATAGCTATGTTTTATTTATGTGGTAAAATAGGGTTATTACTACATGTATTAAGGGCACGCCCTTCCTTCCAACAAACCATTGTCCAGTTCTTTAAATAAATAAAAAACAAGCAAAGATGAAAAATGAGAATCCTTCCCAACGACACCCTTAATTTTCTATCGTCGATCATTTTCAATAGACTTCACAAATGAGGAGGTTCTTAATTCGTCGGAATCTTTTTTTTATGTATGTTCACCAATTACTCAAAGACGCCTAAACAGATTTGAAAATTTCTTATTTTGTTTGAAAGGTTTGACCAGATGGTTCCATATAAATTTGATCAAGGTCTCACCAGTAGTTTTTGAGTTATCCTTAATAATTTATATTGAAGTCGGTCGTACAAAATTTTTAATTTTACCACTTGTATTCTGCCCATTATCTTTACAATTAGCGTGACGGCATCGTTAATTTAAGGTCTTCAGGAGATAGAGAATATTTTGTATTATGTTTACTCGTAATGTTTTAAGGACTCACGAATATAACTATATAATATTATTGATGAAGGTATAAAATGGAATTTTTGAATATACATTTAAAAAAAATTATTACTTACGATAATTGGAAAACTAATTGTTCCTTAAAAAAACAAAGTAGTAGATGGCGAATTTAATTAGGTTAAGCAGATAAACATATAAGAGGCGTTGCAGCACATTTAAACCCGCGTTCAGTAGCGCTTCTTTATATCAAACTATATAATTTTGACTGCCTTGTTGGCCTAGTAGCCGTAAGTGCGACTACTGAAAATGTAGTTCTGGGGTTTGAGTCCCGGCTCAGGATAAGTTATTTATGTAGGTTATCTGTCATGAAATTAGTTCGATTGGACAGTTATCTGATACGACCGGAGAGAGATCAGGCGCAAGACCAAAGGCTTTCCGTGCTTTCGAAGGCACCAAGGAGAATTTCTTGCCAGAAAAACTCACTGACTGATTTTGTCCCGCCCGGAATTCGAGTCCAGGACCTCATGAACAGTAACCGCGTTTACGACCACTATATCAACGAGGCAGATTATTTCATATTACATTTTAAAAGTAAATTTAATAAAATGTAGTAATCACGTGTTCATAATTTGCGGTTTATTATATTTAATTGCTTACATAATTTCGTATTATACGCTTGCACAATAATCACACTGTATGTTGTTGTAATTATGAGGAAAGATAGCATGTTGTTTATGAAACTTATACATGATAAATTAGATATGATCTTTTTTATATAATTTAAAATATTTCTTTAAGATATTTAATCTATTAAAATAATACCTAACTAGTTATTTTTTCCATTATCATGAACTTACCTAACGGTTGTTTTTTTATAGGAGACGGGGCAAACGAACATACGGCTCACCTGATGGTAAGTGATTACCGCTGCCCATGAACAACTGCAACACCAGGGGAATTGCAAATGTGTTGCCGGCACTTTTTAAAAAGGAGTACGCTCTTTTCTTGAAGGCCCCTAAGTCGTATCGGTCCGGTAAAATCTCTGGTGGTAGTCGATTCCACAAGGAAGTTGTGCGAGGAAGAAAACTTCGAATGGTGGACCGCAAGTCGTCCAGATGGTATGGATGGTATTGCGAGTTTTGTTGCGATGTGCGATGGTGAAATTGTGTGGCTGGAATTAGTTTGAACAATTCCTCAGAGCACTCCCCGTGGTAAATGCGATAAAATACGCAAAGAGATGCATCATCTCTCCGCAGTGCCAGTGAGTCAAGCCGATCGGAAAGAACTCGGTCGCCGACGATTCGAACAGCTCTGCGCTGAATGCGATTAAATGGAAGGAGCTGGCACTAGGGAGCCCCAGCCCACATATTGGAACAGCATTCCATGTGCGGCCGAACCTGCACCTTGTAAAGTTGCAGGCGGTATGCCGGCATGAAATACTGTCCTGCTCTGCTGATCACGTCAATCTTTTTTGAGGCCAATTTGGCCTTGTCTTTCAAGTTACGGCGAGGATTCCGATACTGGCTGAGGCCACAAGAGGAGTGCCTTGAAACTGAGTAGATACGATGAACCAGTTCTCTTTAGCGGTAAACGCGCAAACTAGTGTCTTCTATGGATTGAAATGGACTAGATTTTGTCGCCCCCAGTCCGAGACTTTGTTCAACAAAGTCTCGACTTCAAACACAAGTTTTTCCCGGTACTCGGTGACGTTTTCCCGAGAAATATTGACACGGCCGGTATATAAAACATCACCTGTGTTGTTATCTGCATATCAATTAATATTACCGATTTGCAATATGTTATTGATATGCCGAAGAAACAGCGTTGGCGATAGCACGCAGCCTTGTGGAACACCAGCGTTAATGGGTTTGTAATCGGAGCATGCACCGTCTACTATGACCTTTATGCTCTGATCTGCAAAACTGGTGATCAAATTACACAATTTCTCGGGTAGCCCATAGGAAGGCAGCTCCATAAGAAGCTCTTTGTGCCAAATCCGATCGAAGGCCTTCGGTATATCCAAACTAACGGCCAATACCTTACCCTTGGACTCAACTGCCTCCGCCTATTTATGGGTTGGGTAGCCCAGAAGATCACCAGCCGAGCGACTGCGACGGACACCGTACTGACAGTCACTAATCAGCTGATGATTCTTATGGTACCGCAAGAGCTGGCTGTTAATAATGGACTCCATTATATTAGAGAACAAGGAGGTGATGGCGATATGCCTTTAGTTTGACGGATCAGAGCGGCTACCTTTTTTAGGAATCGGGTGCACGAAAGCTGTCTTCCATGATTTCGGGACTACGCCTAGGGAGTAGGAGTACCGAAAAAGACGCGTTAAAATCGGTGCCAACTCTGGAGCACACGTCTTCAGCACAATAGCAGGGACGCCATCAGGCCCAATGGACTTGTTGACGTCCAGGGAGAGGAGTGCTCTGCGCTCCGAGCGTTGGATAAACAGCACATCCTGCATGGAGCACTCACACCGCGGGATGGTCGCCGGGTGTTCCCCCCGTCATCAAGAGTCGAGTCAGATGCAAAGAGAGAGCCCAGCAGATCGACTTTGTCTTTTGCGGCATGGGCCAGTGTGTCGTCCTCCCTGTGCAGAGATGGGAGAGATGGCTGACAGAAGTTCCCTTGGACAGCCTTGGCGATAAACCAGAATGCACATGTTGCCAAAGGAACTAGTTTCTCGTCAATTCTGCCGATGTGCTCAACTTTGCCTTGACAATGATACTTTTGAAGGACCTGGAGGTGGAATTATACTTCTTTTTAAGAACGCTTGTATTTGCAATCCGAGACGTCGATGCGTAAGCCCATTCCTGGTAGCGCTCTTGCTTATGGCGTAATGCAATTTTGCAGGAGCGACCAAACCATGACTGGGTTCTGCTTCCGATAGGTACCACAGATGATAGAATAAATAGTTCCATACCCTGTAGCACCACATCAGCGACAGAATCAGCAACAATGCTGGGATCATCCGGCGAGAAGCAAACCCGGCTCCAAAGGTAGGATGATTAAAAAGATCGCATCCCGTCCCAATCGGCTGACCTATAAAGCCAAATACGGTGACAACCTGCAGAACGAAACCGCGATGGTAACGTGAGTGGCATAGTACTCCGGATCAGACAATGGTCCGCAGAGCCAAGAGGGGCATCGACGGAGACCTGATATCCGTCCGGATGAGAGGACAGCAGAAGTTCCTACAGGGAAGCTACTTGATCTTCCAGATCTGGGATCCGCATAAGCGAGGTAACCAGTTGTGTCACATCATATGCCAAAGCAAAATCATAAAAAGATCTACCCGCATGATCGGTTAAACAAGAACCAAGCCATTCAGCATGGTGGGCGTTAAAATCACCAAGCATCACGATATCTGCGGATGGGACCTGTTGTAGCACGGAGCCATTTGGACGTGGTCGGTGAGTCGGTCTATGTCGGCATTGCCGCTATAGGACCTGTAGAGGCACCCGTAAACGCGGCAATGGTCGTCGCTGTCTACGCGCAGCCATAAGATGGACAGGTACCGTATATTTAAGGCTGCCGAGGCGTCGAAAACAGATGTCCTCTTTGACGTACACGCAAACTTCAGCCTGGGGCACAAAGGAGTGTTCTACTTTGTACCCCGGGTAGGAGAGATACCAATTATCAGCAGGAGAGGACACCTGTGTCTCAGTTAATTAAAACAAGGACGGCTTCGCCGTTTCCAGATGGTAGTGGACGGCGTTAAGGTTTGAATGAAGTCCCCTGATGTTGCAGAAATTCACGGATAGCCTGACAGGGGGCGCCTTTGACTTCATGCTCCGTTTTCCCCGAGTATGTTTAGTCTCTCACTCACGCTCAGGAAGAGTAGGGTAGCTTGAGCGTGGATGCTCAGCGAGGGATTCTCCGTCGCCGGGGGTGATGGTACCCTCCTGGGATAGCAGCACCCCAGGTTATAATAGTTTGTAATAGCCAAATGTAATTTATTTAGCTTTTCTGAGATAGAAATAATTTATTGTATTATACATTGACCTAATGGGTAACGTAACAGAATGACAGAACACATCCCGCGAACAAAATCTGTGCGGAAGTGCAGGGTGCGTGGAAGGAGGTACAGCGTACAATTATTATGGCACGGGTAAGTTTGAGCTAAAGAACGTACTTTGAATTTGCTCAGACTTTACCTACGAAAAAGTTAGTGAAGTATATGCTTAGCATAATGTTTGATTCTCAATTTATAGTTGTATTGGGCTAAAAAAGCTAAGCTTATGCTAAGGCCCAGACAGTCAAAAAATTAATGGATGCATAATT